TACTAAAGCATTAGCTGAAGGCTTATAATATTTCTCCTTTTTTTTTTCTACCTCTTTCATATGTATTTGGCTATACACATCTGCTGATATGTATATTGCATGGTGACATAGGTATTATCAGTCTTTGAATACAACTTAAATGAATGTTGAAGATAGGTGTGTGCATATGTGGATATAAAAGTTGTGAAAACTGATGGTATTTCAGATGGTTAATTGAATGCTACTTATAATGCCTGCTCAGTTTATTCAAATCATTTGTAGACACTTTATTGTCTATCATTTTTTGCCATCTGTTACATAGCAATTATTTCATGTTTATCTGAACAACTTGTTTTTTCATTGTAATTAACCTCAAAATATTTTTGTGTACTTTTTTTTTTTTCTCTTCTGAAATTTACAGTGCAACAGCAATATTTATTTTGTGCCAAGTTCTTATGTTAAAAATGTTGTATACTTAAAGATTACATTAGCTGTGGAGGAATGGGAACTAACGACTGATGACAGCATTAGTCCAAGCTATAAAGTATATTCTGTATGTTTATTGATGTTATTTTTGCTGCTGTTGATGTGCTGTTAATTATTTTATGTTATAGTATTAGATCTGTGCTTTAAACAGCGTACAAATTCAGCAGATCTGTGTTGCTGAAATGCCAATTGATTGGTAGTGTTCAAAACATATGTGAATTTTGAAATATCATAAAAACAATTGATGCACAAAACAAATCAAAGGTGTTTTTGAACAGATTCATTTGAAAACTACTTCTATATGTTCACATATGCTTTTTCTTCTACCTTCTTTTTTTCAGGTAATAAAACATAGATGGGGACTGATGATTGGCTTATCCAACGATTACCACCTCATTTGCAAGCAATTTCCGTAATTATAGGTGGCGTTCTTGTACAACTGTCGTTGGGTGGAATATATACATTTGGTAAATTTTTAAAGCAATTATTTTTTTTTTACTTTTGCTTCTACTTTTGATTTTTGGACAATTTTTTCAAAAAAAAATTAGGCTTATTCACTAAAGTAGAAAAATTTATTTTGTTTCTGCGTTTAACATAGGTGTTTTCTGTCATTAACTTTGTTGATCCTGCTGCTTTACTTGATTTGACAGAAAAATGGTTGCTAAGATGAACTTGGGCTCTAATACAAAGAATTTTATCAGTTTATTTTATACTTCATTTAAACTTGCAGGGAAAAACACAAAACTGTCAAATATCGGCAGCATGGTTGTCGTTATTAAAAGTTCAAATACATTTCAGAGCTAAATTTAGTCAATATCATCTTCAGTTTGACTGGTTGATATAATTTATGGTTTGACATTTCTAAAATCTATATACGAAAATTATTAAGCTCTAATTTTTATGAACATCGTTACTGCAGGCAATATGCTTCCCTACTTGATTTCTTATATACGTGCAAGAGTCGACTCAACAATGACCAGTGGTACACTAATTTGGCTTCAAACGCTAATGGGTATATCAATTTATCTCTGTTCTTCGTAAAACAATCGTTTTGTAACTCCTAAAGTAGAATGACAAAGAATCGTTGATGCTAAGTAAACGAAACATTTTTTGGATGACCAAATTTATACCTAGTTTTTAATACTGAGGCACTGAAGATATCTATAATTGTTTGACAGAAAGAAATTGCATAATATTTTTTTGCTAAAATCATTAATTTACTTCTGTCGTGTTTTCAGAAGTAATTTTAAGAAGTTTATAATATTTGAGGAATAATATTTGAGGATTAAGTAGATGATATTTGATTGATGGCTGTATAGTTACTTACAAATATTTTAACCAAACGGGATAGAAAATGTACTAAAGTGTTTCGATTTAAATTAGTGAAGCTTTCATCTCTTAGCTGGGATACCCTTCGCTCTAGTTCTCGGTGGATATCTGGAAAAGAAAATTGGACCAAGACCTGCAACGCTTCTTGGATGTTTACTATATACGTAAGTGCCTTTACTGTAAAAGTTCTCTGAGCTGAAGAGTAGAGCTCGGTTGTTGACGCATCCTTATAATTTGAAAATTTGATCAAATTATCGCATTAAGCAAAACAGTGGCCAATGGTCAGTTTTTGCAAACGTTATTTTTTCAGGACGTCAGTAGCCCTTACCTACTACTCCTTGCAAAAATCATTTTTTCTGGTTATGATAACTCTTGGGCTGTGTGCAACTACTGGTTTAGGAATTGCCTACAATACTGTTCTGATACTTGCACAACAAGTACGTTGTTTATAAAACAGATTTTGCTGTCTCTTTCTTTGTCACTTCGATTGTCTATTAAAGCGAAATAGGTTTGGGCGATGAGGTGGATTAAGTATGCAGAATAAGTTATTTTCTGGTTTGATGAATCAGATTTCCTTAACCTTTCCCTAAGTCTTCGGATAGCGGTTTTTAAAACGCGACAAGCTGAGATGCAGGATGAATGGATTTTTGCTTTTAAACAGGAGTATCTATCTGTCTGCTGCCGATGTAGCAAATGCCAAATTATTTACTAAACTTCTGGCTGCAAACGTTTCTTCACGCAGTGAACCTTATTTACTTTACCCTGAATACAAAATTATCAAAATTTGCTCATAAATGGGGTTTTTTCTATTGTTTTTCAATATTCTAACAGCAGTTTTAATATGAGCTGGAATTTAGTTGCAAATTAGATCGGCAGAAAAGAGTATTTTACATCCTCAATGAATTTTCAAATTTGGCTGGATTAGTTCAATCTAGAGTGTTTTGTTACAAACCTCTTTAAGTCTGTATTGTTCAACTAACTTCCAGATTTTAGCTGGCATAACTAAAATTAAGTTGTTTTCTTGAACGGCACCAGAAATGAAAACAACCCAGCTTGTTTGCTTATCTTAAATCGCTTCAAATTATTGATGCATAAACCAGCCATCTGAATGTTAGAAGAACGGCTTCTCTGGTGGCTTATAAAATTTATTGTCAAAGTTATTGATGAGGATTACTTCCTTGTTGTTTTGTTCTTTACAAAAGTTTTTAGTCATGCGCTTCAAAGAAACAACCTTTTTTTTTCGCCGATACGCAAGGGCAAATATTGTGTAAAGATCATGTTTGCCTAAGTCTTTTTGGTTTTCAGTGGTTTCCGACTCGAATCGGTTTTGCAAGCGGTATTATTGTTGGCGGTTTTGGATTTTCGGCGTTTATTTTTTCACCAATACAGACGAAATACATAAATCAGCATAATTACGTTGTCAATACTCAAGGGTAAGTGTAAGGTGCACTCTTTAGGAGTGGCGTTCTAGTGGTTTAGTTACAGTTCATCATCACTTGTTTTGGTTTTTTGCTTGAGATATTGTATCTGTAGGTCAGGATTGATTATTAGTTGCGTTGGAAAGAAAATACCTTAGAGCTACTCTGTTGCGTAATATACATACGAGCAGGCTTTGTTAACCAACTTCATTGAAATTTTTTTTAACTTTCAGATATTTTACGCAGAAGGATCTGTTAGATCGTGTTCCTAAAGTGTTTCTGTTATTGGCAGGAATCTACGCTGTCTTGCAGATCCTGGGCATCATTTTACTGTGCCGGCCTTCATCAGTCAGTAAAATTACTTCTTTCTTTACCACTTTAGAAATCAAGCAAAGCACCTTACAAAAGATCCCTGATGAACCATTCAGTAAGCTTTAAAGAGTTAATACCTGAGAACAACGTGTTCTATGGGCTTTTAATTCAGTTGTACCTTTATTTCCCCACTGCGATTATAAATAAATCAATTAAACTTTTTTAGGTAAGTGGCCTATCAGATGAGGAAGAATCATTTCTGGAAGTTGAAAAAAAAGATCCAACCATCAAGGAAGTACTCAAGAGCAAAACGTTTTGGCTGCTTTTTATGACTGCATCGACAAGCTGTTTGTGGATTTTTACCACAAGTGGACTTTTTAAGGTCGTTTGAAGCTTTTACATAAATTGATTAGGAAGAAGAAAGTTACTTACTCTTTGCTACGTAAGAACCAAACGATCAATTTTTTTGAAGTCTGAAGTTGCGGAGCACTCAACTGAAATGCAGTGACTTAAATTTGCTCCATTCTTTGATTCACATGCAACTAAAAGGAAAAAATTTGGCCTTTTATTTTTGTGAACGAAGCGGATCATGCTGTAGTCGTTTTGAAGATCCTTCGCTTTAAATCATTTCATGTGTTATCCTAGTGGTTACAGGCTTATGGACAGAAGTTCATCAAGAGCGATTTCTTTTTGGCCGAAGTT